CATCGTTTAATATTCAAGACTCAGAATACTGAACCAGGGTTTGACATCTATTCCGAAAGCAAGTTCAATTGGCTGGAGGCTGATGTAATGCCAATCACTCTCCAAGTTCACCACGACAAAATTGTCGGACAAGGCAGCATGAGGAGAGCCTTTGAGGCGACTGTGAGAACCATTGCAAGTGATGGATCAGTCAAATTGGTCAACTACGTCGCAAAGATACGATTCCGAGATGGGGCGCCCAACATTTCACACTACGCCAGTGATGCACTTATGTATGAAGGGAGTGCACTCCTCTTGGATGAATTCAAGAAGATCTTACCTGGATGCCAAAGGCTGCGTGAGGTGTATCTAAAGAAAGGCCAACTAATGGAGGTCTGTAGCTCTTCAGGATATAATCACTTCGTTTTTTCCATGGGTTTTTGACCTTGTGTTTTTTGCATTTCAGATTGTTCGACATGCGGTAGTTGTCTGTGGTGAAATTAACCTGCCTAGTGAGGTGTACTTCTTGGAAGTAGCATTAGTGGGGCCATATGTTAAATATTCCAGCAATGTCAACTTTAGGATTAAAGAGAATTGGGAAGGAGTTGACCCAGACATTGCTAGGCTGATGAATGCTTTTATGCATTGGTCCTACGTCAATTCCAATGGGAAAAGTCTCATCTGTGACTTGCAAGGTGTTGGGCCAATGGAAAGCCCTTTTAGACATTGGAGCCTTCTGTCTCTTGCACAAGTAGTGATTTTCTTGATTTATGTTACCCTGAATGGAGAAACTACCTATTACCTGTCCCCAAGGCTAAATTTAGTAGTTGTAACTCCTCCATGAAACCTCTAGGAGTAATTAGCATGCCATTGATATTTCCTCACTCCAAAGGATCATTAAGGCTTAATGTGGAATTTGTTGTTTTACAGGATGTAAGGTCTGGATATGAAACTAGAAGGAAATTCTAGTACTATTCCTGTCCTAATAATTTTTGTTAGTAATTTTATATTGAATTTTAAGGTTTAAAGTGTATTCAAACTTACAAAAAAAGGGGATTGTTGGTTAAACAATCAAAGAAATTATAACCTCACAATGTTACTTGTTAAGAGGCCTAGAGTTGAGTTTTAATCAATACTCTGAATTCCAAAGGAGGAATTGAGGAAGGGTGAATTGTTTGTTAGACAATAGATCACAAGGAGTTCTTCCAAAAAGGTCTTTTGGATGAGTTGAGGATTCCTGGGCAATTTCTAGAGCAATACTTCTGCAACAGAAAGTAAGAAAATGGCCAATTTTAAAGGAATAAGGAGCTGGGATCTTTTAAGGGCAAAGGCTACAGGTTAAGGCTGAAGGTAGCAGTAAAAGAGGAGCTCTGTTTCGTGGTTGGAATGCTAAGGTTGATAAGAGAAATGGTTGGAAATGCTGGCTTCAAGTATATAGTAGTATATATGGTGAAGTGGGTGAATTTCTGAGGTTTAAGCACTCAATAAAGGAGTCTTTATATAGCCACACACCTGAGGGTGGCTTGCAGTACACTTTTGCACGATGACACTGATGCTTTGGGCTTGTTTGGCTGGGTGGAAGCCATGCCCAAGGCCTTGGTTATCAGTATCCCAAAGGCTGAAACAGTTGTAACTGTAACCACGGGTACAGCTACCCAGTCAGGAAGTAATGATGCAATGCCAAGTTATTGCTAGGGTTCTATATGCCCAAAGGAGACTTTTTGTTTCGTCTCCAATCCATTTTGGAGGGATTTGGTTGAAGTATTCTGATATGTACTGGCTGAGAACAGTTTAAACTACTTGGGCCAGATTGAAATGGGCCAATTCTCAACCCTGTTGATTTCAAACTGGACCAGGGTTGTTCTGGTGGATGGCTGATGTAAGAGGATATTCTGAGTTCGCTCAGAAAGGTTATTAAGGTTAGGGATAAACAAAACAGGTTACATGACCAAGTGGCTGGTCAGGGTTCAGAATATGTGGTCTAAACTGGTTACTTGGTTATAGTTGTTGAACTACAAGGTTGTACATGTTGCACAAGCCTTGGAACCTTGTTTATCTTGAGTTCGCATCCAATGAACTTTGTTTATGTCATCAGCTGATTTGGATCTGTAACTTTAAATGTCTGTAACTCTTTAGTTATTGATTATTTTACAGAATTCTTTGTTTTTTGAGTATGTGGTTACACAGTGGTATGTAACTACATGAATTTTGTTTTTATTTTCAAATTAAAGTAAAAAAGTTTATTTTTATTTTTAAAGGCCTTTGTGGTCATTTGCAGGCTTTTGACCATATACACTTTTATATGTAGATTTTTATGCTTAATATTAATTTACTATTTATAATATTTTTTCTTGGGCTAGTCTTGAGACTTGACTATGAGTTGTAATTGTTATTTTTATTATTTTATATTTTGAGGCCTATGGGTATGTATATACCTCAAGGCTGACATTCACTACCACCAAAAAAGAAAAAAAAGGATAATATCATTTTTTATCTGATGTTCTTTTGTCATGTCTGAACCTGCGTAGAAGTTTGTCCCCTTCTGGGATTTCTTTTTCTGGGAGCCATTCATCTTCTTTGTTAGAGTCTTTGTAGCGGACAAGGTAAAATTTATCTTTCTGTCCCCTGACTCTCTTCTCCTTGATAACTTTGGCTATGCTTCCCTGATCTTGTTTCTCCATAGGTGGTGATATAATTTCAGTTTCAGTTCTAAGGGGAAATAGAGATTTATCTGTTTCTTTATAGGGTTTAATTAGGCTAACTGGAAAGGTAGGGTGTTTCCTGTCAAATTCTTTGGTTAGTACTACTTCAACTGCATTTTTGCCATGTAGTGCTCTAATCACAAATGGTCCAGCAAAGGCATCTTTTAGTTTGCGTGGTCCTTTGATGTTATTGAAGTTGATAGTTGATACTAGTACCATGTCACCAATTTTAAAGTTGGGTTCTTTGTGAGATTTGTCCCACCTTTGTTTATTATATTCATGGGAATCATTCATACATCTAGTAGCATGTTTGCGTGCATTGTCAAGCATGGTTTTGAAGCTTGATGCAGTAGGATGGATATCTATGAGGTCTTTCCTAAGGCTATCTTGTGGCAATCTTGGGTTCCAGCCTTTTTCTAGCATGGATGGTGTTTTGTTGGTTGAACTGTGGACTGAGGTGCGGTAAGCTAGTTCTAAAGCAGGTAATAGTGTGACCCAGTCATGTGTGAAACCATCTGCATCTTTGAATTCTAGTCCATATGCACAAAATCTGCGGACCATATCTTCAAGTGTTTGGATCATACGCTCAGCCAGTCCATCTGTTTGTGGATGGTAGGCAGTGGAAAAGGATAATTTGGTGCCAAATAAGGAGTATAAGTTGCGCCAGAGTTCTGAAGTGAATTTTGGGTCCCTATCACTGATAATTACTTTGAAGAGTCCTGTCCATGAAACAACTCTGTTCCATATCATTAATGCTGTGTCCATGGATGTGTCATCTTTATGGCATGGGAGGAATATTGGTGTTTTACTAAACCTGTCAACTATGACAAGACAAGCATTGTAATTATTCTGTCCTCCCGGAGGTAGTCCTGTTACCCAGTCCATGTTGACCACTTCCCAGGGCATGGATGGTTCTTCAATCTTCATCATGAGTCCAAATTTCTTACCAGTTGATCTGTTGGCTTTTTGGCATCTATCACATGTGGAACAATATTTTGCAACATCATCCTTCCAATTGAGCCACCAGGCACAGGTTTTGACTTTTTCCATGGTCCTATCTTCAGATAGATGACCGGAAAATGCACTGTCGTGGCATTCGTGGAGCATAATGCTAATTTGTTCTCTGTCTGTTAAGACCATAACACAAGAATGCTTGGTCCTGTGGTAAAGTATTCCATCAAACAGATGAAAACGTCCTTCTTGGTAACGTTTCTTCCATTCATCTTCTAGGCTGTTGGAGAGATCTTTGTCTTTAAAATCTTTTCCTAGAAGTTGAAGGATTATCCAGCAATTTTTGTCTTGTTTGTAACTGTCTCTAATATCACTGAAGAATTCTTCATTGAGGTCTGTCACATTGATACCCATGATTGGGAGGCTAGATGGTAAGTTCTCTTGGTCATAGGCAGGATTATCTACATTGTTTGGTAATGGCCATCTACTTAGTCCATCTGCGTTTTTGTGTAAATTGCCTTCTTTATGGATAATGGTCATATTTCCTCTGTATTCTTGGATTGTAATTTGCCAGCGTAGCATATGCCTGTTAGGTGCTTTCATGTTTAATAGTGATTTAAGTGCTGTGCAGTCTGTGATGACCTGGAAAACACTTCCATCAAGGTAGTAGTGGAGCTTTTCCAGAGCCCAAACAAGACACAGACATTCAAGTTGGCTGGCGCCATATCTTCCCTCTGTATCTTTGAGCTGTCTAGATATGTAGCATACTGGTCCCTCATAAGGTTTATCATCAATAATTTGGACTTGGTGTAATGCTGCACCAAGTCCTTCCATTGAGGCGTCAACGTACAGTTTGAATGGTTTGTCAAACTGAGGCATAAGCAGTAGTGGTGCTGATGTAAGAGCAGTTCTCATGTCGGTATATGCTTGTACTCTCTCAGTTGTCATTTCAAACGCCGCATCTTTGCTAGTGATGACATATAGGGGTTTGGCAATTACGGAGAAGTTTTTGATATGTTGTCTGTAGTAACTTGCAAAGCCTAAGAAACTTTGCATTTCTTTTCTAGTCTGCGGTATAGGTTTAAGCATTACAGCTGCTACTTTGTTTTGGTCAATGGCTAGTGTAAGTCCTGATACAATGTGTCCTAGTGCTTTCAGCTCGTGAAAGCCAAAGTTACATTTCTTGAGTGATATTTTCATGTTAACTTCTACAACTTTCTGAAGAATTATTTGTAGTCTCTCGAGGTGTTGCTCCCAGTTATTGGAGAAAACAATAATATCATCTATGTAGATGATGAGCCATTGCTCGGATAATTCTTTAACGAAAATTGTGTTCATCATTCTTTGGTAATGTGATGGAGCATTTTTGATTCCAAACGGCATCCTCATGTATTCATATACGCCACAGTGTGCTATGATCCTAAGGAATTTTCTAGACCTTGGTGTGACAACATTTTGGTGGAAACCTTTTAATGCATCCATGCTAGTGATGTATTTGGCCTGTGATAAGCTGGTGAGTGTCTCATGGATGCGTGGGATAGGATACCTGTCCGGTATGGTGTATGTATTAAGGGCTCTGAAGTCTCCCACCATCCTTGATTTGTCATTATGCCAGGCTATAATCACTGGTGTGGTTATTTCTACCTCTTCATTGTGACCAATTTTCCGGAGAACACCCAAGTCAATGAGTTCTTTAATATGTTTTTCCAATGCTTCCCTGGCTCTAGGACTGGCTGGGTAGGCTGGTCTTCTGAGGAGTGGAGGGTATGGTTTTTCAATATTCAAAGTAATTTCAACTTCATGTCCCTTAATTGCACCTAATGGTTCTTTGTCCGTGGCAAAGGCATTTTTATTATTAAATAGCACTTGGATGAGACATGCACGTTGGTTTTCATTGAGTTTTTCACTGATCTTGCATTCCTTCAGTTGGTCATTCTCAAATTGGGAAATTTCTGGGTCTGTTCTTCTAGTAACTGAATTGATGGACCTAGAGGCAAGAAATTGGAATTTTTTCCGTTGGTTATCATGACCAATTGTGAAGAATCTTTCTTTGCTGTTGTGGATGTCAAATCCATAAAGATTAAGATAGTCTGTTCCTAGGATGAAATAATCATTTCTTCCATCTTCAAGAATTATAAATTCTACTTTAATTCTGACCGATCCTGATGGATGTGGTAGGAGAAGGCTTATTTCAATTATCCCTAGTGATTTCATTTGGCTGTTGCAGCTGTGGAGTGATAGTCCTGCTAGTGGCATGAGGCTATCTTTCCAATTAGGCAGGAATTGTTCCAAATATTTCTTGGACACTACTGAGCAAAAAGCTCCTTGATCTAGTAGCATTCTGCCTTCCTGTTTTTCACATATGACTAGAGTGACAGAGCTTGTGCCTGCTGTGTAGCCCTTTCCTTTTTCTGGTTTGGTTTTTACTAGTTTGGCATCAGTAACATGTGTAATGTCTCTGTTGTGGTGTGATATCTGCGGTAAGTGGGAAACTTGTTCTTCCTCAGATAAGTCATAGTCTGCCTCAATAGCGCCTATCTCAGCATCTGCAGACTCATAATCTTCTGCATCATCTGGTAAAGATTCCTCATCTTCTTTGTCTGATGTTTCATCTAATTCTTCTGTGTTACCTGATGTGTCTGGTTCAATTGCATTTATAGTACGTTTATTCTTTGGGCACACATTGGCTAAATGATCTGGGCTGTCACACTTGTGGCATTTTCTGACATATGGTTTGTTGTCTATTTTTGCCGGGATAGTTTTCTTTATGTCAGTCTTCCCTGGGGAATATTTTTTGTAAGATCTACCAATCTTGGTACGTTCCACTATGTCTTCTAGTGCATTGATGATTTCTTCTGTGGAAGAATTTCTATTGGTCCTGCATTTAACTGCATGCTCTAGATCTCCTCCACATTTCTTGAGTATCCTCTCATGTAGGCCTGATGGACTCATTTCTGGAAAAATGGCTGAAAGGCGGTCTTTCTGCTTGGAGAACCATGTAAGTGGTTTGTTAATTTCTGGATCAAAGTGTGCCTTGTCAAAAGCTTCTTCCATCCTGAATCTCCATGCACCATTCCCCCATTTTATATGCATTTGTTCCTTCCACCAGGACCAAGTTTGTTTACCATGTTCTGCGCGCATTAAGTTGTACCATTTTTTGGCAGAATTGTATAGTATGATACATAATTTTCCTGTGATAGCAATATCTTTAAGTTCAAAGTCTTCTTGAAACATATCAATGGTTTTAATAAATTCTACGTGGTTATATTCTCCTTCACCGCTGAATCTTGGCCAATCTTTGACTTTAGGTGCTTCTTTGGACATATCAGATTGGGTGCTTCCAGCAGTGTGTTCCACTGGTGGTCTTGGGGATCCAAGATTTGGATGGGGTATCAATTGTGGTGAGAGACTTGTTGACCTTGTAGGAGCCTCTGTGTGTGAGGGAGGATAAACTTTCTCATTGTTTAGTAATGTATCTAATTTATTATTAATGGTACTATATTGGATGAGAAAGGAATTGTTTAATTCTTTAATTTTGTTGTCAACTAATTGTTGATGTTTTGCAAGGGAATTTTGGTTCTCCTGTTGTTGAGATTTTAACATATTATTATATTTTTCTATTTGTTCACAAATGGTTAACAATAGTTTATGATTCTCATCAATATCAGAAATAATTGAGTCATATTTATCTTGAATCTCAAGTGAAGGATCTTCTTGCTTATCCTCCAATGGTTTCTTGGTATTGATCTCCAGTCCTCTTATTTTATCTATAATAGTTCCTGTAAGATTCTCTAGCACCTCAAATTTGTCAAATGACTTAGCAAAATCATTGTCAATTTTGTAGGAAGTTTTATCAAGAATTTTTTTGTTTTCCTCTGTTACAGAAAAATTGGATCTTAGTATTTCAGACAAGATGGACATTGAATTGGCAGTGGCCATAGAATTAGTCAAAGTTTTCTCAGTTGAAGCTGAAAGTAGTTTGAACTCAGACATCAGGTTATTGCTAGAATAGAGAATATCAAGTTTCTCGTCAAAATTTATAAAACGAGCGTGTATTTCGTTAATGAGGGTGTCATGAAGAGAGGCTAGAGTAGTATGTACAAGTTGTAAATCTAGTCTTTCTTGCGGCGCTTGGAGGCTTCCTCCTCCTTGCGTAATTCTTCCAACACTTGTGCTCAAGCTTGTTGTAAGGCTCTGGCCGCCGCCATCGTTTCTCGCCACGAGGTGTCTAGCTTCGCTATCTTGCCTAGTCGGTTGACATCTGTCTCGGCTGGTCGTTTCTCTCGGCGGTTGTTGGGGGAGTTGTAGCTTCCTGAGGGTTGAGATCCGCTTGCTGTCGGCTGCGAGCGGCCTTCTAGTTTCGCTAGGAGCTTGGCCGATTTTGCTTCCTTGAATGGGTTCCACCCATTGTTGATGGAGAGGGCGAACTGCCAAGTTAGCTTCTTCGAGATGTTGCGGTACGAGCGTTGGCACTCGGTCAGCGCTCTCGTTGCGTCTGCGTGCTGATTCGCCTTCTTCGCTGTTTCGTACATGTGATATTGCTGCCGATATATCCTGCACGCCTGGTCTTCCACTGTGTTCAGTTCTAAAGTTATCAGTGGTCAGTGTTTGGTTAAAGATATCTAATGAGTCGTCAGAAGAATAGACTGACTCATTGGTTCTATATCCATCGAAGGATCCGATCCTTCGTTCGGGTCTTGATCTTCCGGTTGGTCGACGTCCATCGCGTCCGACGGTTGGGATTGATTGGTCTTGGAGACTGGTGCTTGAGGGTAGTTGGGCACCGGTGGTTGGGTCGTTCTCGGCGGGTCTGCTATAGACGGCGCTGGTCTTCTCGCCGAGGTTGACATCGGTATGACTACAGCTATGGCTTGTCTCTTCCTGGCCTTCTCTGATGGTGGTTGGGTCGAGATGAGCTTTGGTTTCGTCGGTACGAATAGTGTCGATGGTTTCTCGGCGGTTTTCGCCGGTGCTTTCTTGGGAGTCGATGAAGCTATCTTCTTCTTGGTTGGTAAGTTGGCTAGATTCGGCGAGTTTAGTTTCGATACCGGGCTTGACTCTTTCAATTGAGGGGGGTTCTTCAACGGTGGAGTGGATCTGTCCGTTTTTGAGGGTGTCGGCGTCGTTTCTTGCGATGCTTTGAGGTTGTTTTCTTCCGTGGACGCTCCGAGTTGTACTGGATCGTCTGCTGCTGGTTACAGAAGAAGCCTCTGAGTAAGTCTTTCCAGATCTGGTGGAAGGAGACATGTTCGAGATGGCTTACGTAAGGCGCTGTCCGCAGCTAAAGTGACGCTTTCGAGTAAAGTGTTAGCTTGATTGAATAATCCTTCGACCTCTGGGTTGAAGGCTGATGGTTCTTCTTTGTTGGTATCGGTGGATACTTCAGAAAGGACTGAAGGGCTAGGAGCTTCAGTTGTAGGGGTCTGTGCTTCAAAGTTGCTCACTTTGAAAGAAGGGAAAAAAAAAATGTTAATTAATTTTTAGTTTTTAATGATTTTTTCAATGAGATTTTTGTAAGAAAAAATGGAAAATAACCGTACTTTTTATGGGAGTTTTTTAGGTTAGTTTTATTTGTATTTTTAGTTGATTTTGTGCAAAAAATTTGCTTTTTTCTAGATGAAAAAGGTTCTAAAAAATGAAAAAGAAAATATGGTCTTTGGGTAAAAACCCGATGAGGCCCCCAAATGTAAGGTCTGGATATGAACTAGAAGGAAATTCTAGTACTATTCCTGTCCTAATAATTTTTGTTAGTAATTTTATATTGAATTTTAAGGTTTAAAGTGTATTCAAACTTACAAAAAAAGGGGATTGTTGGTTAAACAATCAAAGAAATTATAACCTCACAATGTTACTTGTTAAGAGGCCTAGAGTTGAGTTTTAATCAATACTCTGAATTCCAAAGGAGGAATTGAGGAAGGGTGAATTGTTTGTTAGACAATAGATCACAAGGAGTTCTTCCAAAAAGGTCTTTTGGATGAGTTGAGGATTCCTGGGCAATTTCTAGAGCAATACTTCTGCAACAGAAAGTAAGAAAATGGCCAATTTTAAAGGAATAAGGAGCTGGGATCTTTTAAGGGCAAAGGCTACAGGTTAAGGCTGAAGGTAGCAGTAAAAGAGGAGCTCTGTTTCGTGGTTGGAATGCTAAGGTTGATAAGAGAAATGGTTGGAAATGCTGGCTTCAAGTATATAGTAGTATATATGGTGAAGTGGGTGAATTTCTGAGGTTTAAGCACTCAATAAAGGAGTCTTTATATAGCCACACACCTGAGGGTGGCTTGCAGTACACTTTTGCACGATGACACTGATGCTTTGGGCTTGTTTGGCTGGGTGGAAGCCATGCCCAAGGCCTTGGTTATCAGTATCCCAAAGGCTGAAACAGTTGTAACTGTAACCACGGGTACAGCTACCCAGTCAGGAAGTAATGATGCAATGCCAAGTTATTGCTAGGGTTCTATATGCCCAAAGGAGACTTTTTGTTTCGTCTCCAATCCATTTTGGAGGGATTTGGTTGAAGTATTCTGATATGTACTGGCTGAGAACAGTTTAAACTACTTGGGCCAGATTGAAATGGGCCAATTCTCAACCCTGTTGATTTCAAACTGGACCAGGGTTGTTCTGGTGGATGGCTGATGTAAGAGGATATTCTGAGTTCGCTCAGAAAGGTTATTAAGGTTAGGGATAAACAAAACAGGTTACATGACCAAGTGGCTGGTCAGGGTTCAGAATATGTGGTCTAAACTGGTTACTTGGTTATAGTTGTTGAACTACAAGGTTGTACATGTTGCACAAGCCTTGGAACCTTGTTTATCTTGAGTTCGCATCCAATGAACTTTGTTTATGTCATCAGCTGATTTGGATCTGTAACTTTAAATGTCTGTAACTCTTTAGTTATTGATTATTTTACAGAATTCTTTGTTTTTTGAGTATGTGGTTACACAGTGGTATGTAACTACATGAATTTTGTTTTTATTTTCAAATTAAAGTAAAAAAGTTTATTTTTATTTTTAAAGGCCTTTGTGGTCATTTGCAGGCTTTTGACCATATACACTTTTATATGTAGATTTTTATGCTTAATATTAATTTACTATTTATAATATTTTTTCTTGGGCTAGTCTTGAGACTTGACTATGAGTTGTAATTGTTATTTTTATTATTTTATATTTTGAGGCCTATGGGTATGTATATACCTCAAGGCTGACACAGGATGCCTTATGTGAATACTTTATTTTAGGAAATGACACCTTTTGCCTGTATGGAATTGATATTTTTCAGAGTAAGAATAGATACTACACCATTGGAGGAGATTGGAAAAGGAAATTCCAAATATGCAATGTAAATATTAAAATTCCTGAGCCAATTAACCAAGTATCTTGTCTTACACAGGAAGTCATTAAATTTGATAAAGAATACTTATCACAGGCAGCTGTTAGTGACATTTTGAATAAGGATCAGAAACAAGATGTTCTAAAAATTTGTCATAAATACAAAGAGGCTTTTTGCACCACAGAAGAGCCCATAGGAAATGTGACAGGACATAACATCAAATTAGAATTGACTTGTCAACCTCCTTATCCTCCTGCTCTTAGGAGAGCCCCTTACCCTTCTAGCCCAAAATCCAGGTTAGCTTTAGAAACCCATATCAAAGAGCTTTTGGATTTAAAAGTTATTAGGAAGGTAGGCCATAATGAGCAAGTTGAAATTACTACTCCTGTTATCATAGCTTGGCATAATGATAAATCCAGGATGGTAGGGGATTTTAGAGCCTTGAATAATTACACAAAAGCTGATAATTACCCCATCCCCAGGATAGATCACTGTCAGCCTTAGAGCCAACCAAGCTGGCCAAAAGACTGCCAAAACTACCCTTTCTACTCAAAATATTACTTTATCTTTTTCATCTTAAGACTTTTGACCTTTCTGACTTCAGAAATGGATTCCTGGTGTAAAATTAACCCTAGTCACCACTGATCACTTTTACCCAACTCCATTCCTTCATTGACTTTGTAATAATTCACAGTACTCCAAGAATTATTCCAACCTTTAGGTTTCCGCTCCCTCTACCACATGTACATACCAGATTACATAATCCAACTGTGAAAATCCTCTCTGAGCTTGTTGATCCCGCTTCCAGAGGATTTTCAGACTCCAGACCACCCAGAAACCACAACAACCAGTACCAGATCCAGCTCACACTTATCAACCAGAAGAACCTTACTTTTCCTGCCTTTCCCACTACTCAGTGTCATTGGTGTCATCAGTAAGTTACTTCTTTAAGTCCAGCTAGCATCTTTCTGCTTGTTTTCTTTCTCAGTCTCTCTCACCTCTTATTCTTCCTTCTCTAAACCAAAAGCCCTGATCAACCAAAGCTCCACTAGCTTCAAAGATTCTTCTCTCTTATTGTTTGGTAGTAAAACTGAAAACTACATAGGTTTCCCTTTAAGGAACCTTGATCATCCTTGATCTAAAAAATTGTGGTTGATCTGATTTATCAGAATCAATAACCCATTTCAGTTTCTGTTGATTTGGAGGCGTCAGAGTTAGCTCCGCTTATAACAGCTATCCTACTAAGGAAAATAAGACTGTCAGCAGCCATCCCAAAGAGGACAGTAAGACTGCCAGAATTTTATCATCTTCTTAAAATAAATAAAGAACAAAAAATAATTCTTTCTATTTCATTCCTCTTCTCCCTTTTCTCTTACTTTTATTTGTATTCCTCTTCTTATAAGAAATACATATAAAAGTGCCCCCCAAAACCTTGTGTCCTGCTGTCACTATTGAGACCCAGGCTCACAATTGGGGGCCTCATCGGGAAATTTTATTCCAAAGACCTCTCATAATCATACTTCTAAACTCAATTCATCAGGCAAATAAAAAAAAAAAAAAAAAAAAAAAAAAAAAAAAATTTACACAACTTCTTTACTTTCTCCTCAAAAGAAACAAGAAAACAACAGATATATAGATATCCTGTTCATCAGTTTCTCAAAAATCAGTATCTCTATTTTCATCGCGGAGCGCTTTTCAAAAATAAGATTCTCATCGCGGAGCGCTCGCGAAAATCCTCCTTTCCGCTTGATTATCCAATCAAAGATAGCAGTTGTTAACCAACTATCTCCTCTGCTCCTTTTCGTTCCCCGGTCGAATCCATCCACTCCTTTGCGAAGTGAAGAAGAACAAACAGATCGTACTCGAATCGTCAGACCTGTCATCAATCCCCTCAGGATCTGAAAAAGAACCAGACCTCTTGGACGAAAGGCTTCTCGCTCCTCCAAAAAACAGAAATCTTATCTCTTCAAAAGAGTGGACTCCGATCACGACTTCAGGAACTCATAGATCCAGAAAACCCGCGAAGAAAAAAGCGCCGAAAGAGACTGAACCCGTTCGCTATCCCGAGTGGACTCCAGCTATTTCAACATACTTGAACAAGCCTTCAAAAACTAAAAGAAAACCTCGAAAAAAGAAAGGAAAAGGTTCGTTCCCTAAACCGAAAATTTCTATCTTAAGTCGAGTACTCTATCTCCTCAGACACCGAATCCTAGATCTAACTGTTTAATTTCTACACTTCATCTCCTAAATAATTCCCTCCGACATGGGTGCCCATCTCAGAAATGGAAGAAATATCTCGATTGAGCAACAACAACGAGAATTCCAACGCCGAGAACAGTCGCAACGAGAGCCAAAGTCTCCACCAGAATCCGGAAGAGGAGACCGACCTGCTGGATTACAGCGAGGAGATGACCCGAGATACGTCTTCAGCCCCGCCGCCGCCGAGCGGCTTCGCAAGCTTAGGGAGCAGTCTGCCGTCGATTACAGACACCGCTACGAGGCGACAGGCGGCAGAAGTATCGCAGTCGGAGCGAGGAATTTCACCTGCATTAATCAATTCCAGAGCGACTTCCTTGGCTCTAGAGACGATGTCCAACAGATCGACTCCAGTACCTCGGCCCATAGACCGACTAACTTTTCCGGTCCATATGAATACCGAGACGGGCCGACAGGTTTTGACTCCGATCCCTCGTCAAAGCCGTCAGACCCAGTTTCCAGTCCTGGAACAGCCTCTAGCCCCACAGGACGAAGACACCATAATGGACAACACGGAGTTGGAAACAGTGATCAACCTGTTCAACGATCAGTGGAATATGTTTGTCCAAGCTCGGGAGAACAACAACCCTCGATTGATGAGAGTAGCGCTCATCCAAGCCATCTCCAGCCAAGAGGAGATCCGACTACTAGCCGGAGGAGCGGAGATG